CCTAGAGCTCAGGACCTTCCTGCCTCAGCCTCCTGAATAACCCAGGTAGAATTTTTATTTTTAAAGCACTGGGGATTGAACCCAGGCCTTTGCACTAAGTGCGTCACCAACCTATTTTTTAAATTTTGTTTTTATTTTGAGGTGGTCTTGATAAGTTGCCTAGGTAGGGCTTGAATTTGTAATGCTACCTCTGCCCCACAGAGTGCTGGGTTTGTAGGCTTTGTACCACGAAGCCTAGCTGGAAACGGCTAAAACCTTGCCGTTTTTTCCAGCTTCAGTCCTTCGTTATTTGGGAGCCCTGTTGATGGGTTGGTGAGCAGTGAGGGCAGGAGAGTGTCTCTAACACTGAGCAGATGTCAGTCTTCAGGAGGCTGTGGCCCTGCGTGGTGACCACCGTGCTTTATGTTTTCCTCTGTGGGTAAGATAGCAAATCTAGAGGGGGCTGAAGTTTGATACTCTTTTCTTACTTTGAGTAGTTTCCCTAGAGAGAGACAAAACAGAATATTCAGATGGTTACTTCCCTTCCCTCTGCCAGAAGCGTGAGGGTATTTTGTCAAATAATTACCAGGAGAATCTGGTGGGATTCCTGAGGTAAATCTCATGAAAGTGAGACGGGGCTCTGCTAAGACTGAGCTGCAGGAGTTTAGAATCCTCAAGCTAGCCCACACTAAATTAGCAGCGGTGTGGCCATTATTTCTTGTTTTCCTTCTAGATAATGGCTCCAGTCCTTTGTTCTTAGTAAGTAGTAGATCTGCAGTTGCCTGCTCCTCCAGTTTTATCTGTTGCTCTGTGACTTCAGTTCTTTTATGGATGTGAGAGTTGTTGATTTTTCAGTTCAGCTTTTTCTTGTGAGAATGAAGTATTGACTTCAAGACTCTTCCCATATCAGAACAGAACATAGACGTCCAGATGAACTTTGTGGTACAAATACTCAAGCTTTTTATTAGGGTTACAGAATTTATTATCTCTCTGCCGCATGCTGTTGATCTGGATTCTCTATTGTTATGATGCTGGATCCCCTCGTGTTTCTTATATATCTAATAATATTAGCTATTTTTTTTCTTCCACCTAGTATTTTTTTTTTGAGACAGGGTCTTGCTATGCAGTTCAGGTTGGCCTTGAGCCCTCTACGGAGCCCCAGCTGGCCTTAGACTCATGGCGATCCTCCTGCCTCAGTCTCCCAAGTGCTGGGATTACAGGAGTGTGCCACCAGCCTAGTATTTTAACCTTCAAACTTTTTCTTGATTCTGGGAGAATTTATTGAGGTGATCTAATTCAGAATTCATGTTCTGCAGTGTTCAGCTGCTACATA